TAGTTTCATTCAACGATACTATCTTCACTACTCTTCACGGTTGGGACAACAGAGTTATAATCAAAGTGCTTTGAAGGTTGCTGTCAAACACAGAACAATCAATCGGAAGCAAGCAGATTGTAGTGTGAGCCATGATTATTTTATGTTATTCTTCGAAACTTAAGTCACCATGGTTGTGATGATCGACTCATGGACTGCAGCTTGTCCAAGAAACACAGAAGTTGGAGCACCCTGCAGACAATGAATGTGTTAGCCTACAGTCATGAAATCTCATCAAAGTCTTGGAGATAGTTTTAATGTCACATGTGTGGTTCTTCTTCATAATAAGTTTCAAAGTTCATGAGGACCTAGAAGTATTTTTAAATTGTTCACTGAAGGTAAGATCGGTAAAATAAAAAAAATAACATTATCAGGATTTATGTCGCTAGATCTTGTACTGTTGTAATATAAGCTATCATGATACGCTTTGGAAAACAACAGACAAGCAAGCATAAGGAATAAATTACTGCTATATAACAAATACACCCAACTAATTATGTTAATTTAATGCAGTTTCAGGTAGAAACTTTATAAACTATTTTATTTAAATTGTAAGGATATTTTATCTTAACCATTTCACATAAAATAACATTCTGCCTACTAATAAATAAAGAGGATTAAACGCATTTTATATGAACAATTTGTATATGCTAATACAGTGGCGAGTCGTTGAAGGTGCGAGCTTGATACCACAAACGATGAATTTTGCACTTGTATATTCTGTCTATGGAGAATTCCCGGTCATTTAACAGTGCAATACCACCGTAGATAAAATATTAGCTGGAGGATTATATAGCAGTTATTCTGAGGAAGAATATTCTTATAGTGAGATGTTAAACGATGTAGAGCCAAAGGGTACAATATTTCAAAAAAGGAAATATACACAGTTCTAAAAAAAATACAAAATAAAAAAACGTGGAAAAACCCAAACAGAAGGTATAGAACAGCAACGGGTTCTAAAACCACACTCCAAACCAATGTCAAATGATATCCACATCCACCAATGCTGTTTTCATGAGAAATATAGCTTGATAAACTGGAATCATAGCAATCCACGATGCGCTCTGTTGGATTTTTTGCTTTGGTTAAATGTAGTATTAGAAGCCGAAGTTCGTGTGCGATAAGCAGGAGAATGTGTGGAATATTTGTTAATCGTGGTAGTGTATCTAGTTTGTTTTGAATTTCGCGCAAAGCTACACAAGGGCTATCTGCGTTAGCCGTCCCTAATTTAGCGAAGAGCTTGGGCTACTTTTCTGATCAACGAATAGTGGAATTGACCTTCACATTATAACGCCCCCAAGGGTGAAAGGGCGATCATGTTTAGGGGGGATGGGGATTCAAATCTACGACCCTCAGATTGCGAGTCGAACGTCCTGGTCATTCCAGGCCATTTTGGCAGTGTAATCCTGATACTCTAGTGTGTTATTGTTATTTTTTGTTATTTTTAAAGATGTAGTACATGAAGAAGTGCACTTTTTTATCTACCTTACTCTGTACAGGTATTTTACATCTGATAAGTGTAATCACAGAAAGTAGTTTAATAATTTGAATTGATGGTTATTCGAAAACCTAAAACTGAAATAATAAAAGCAAGTAATAATAGCTTATTGTTGAGTGAAAGGAAAATGGACGAGTATTGAAATTTTTATTTACATATGTAGTTAGTTTCATCTCAATATATCAGTTTGTATTAACAATTAACATCTAATTATCCATTAAATATAATTAGCTTTGTTACTTCCATACTGAAGTAATAGATTAGATAATAAACTCTGATTAACTTATTTCAGCTAAATTTAGAGCCAAATAACAGGTATAACTTAATTTTTTACTTACCTCTACTGGTAGTCGATTTGACATGTTATAAGCACTCTCCAGTTATTATTATAGGTATAACTTGCGTTACACTAATTTTATTTTAGAGAATTTACGTCCATAATATACTAAGATGGTTACCATTGATTTTACTATTATTCTATGTAACGTACTGCTATAAAAAATGAGAGCTGATTAGATTATGTTTATCTAAAAGCAAAATAATAAGTTAATAAATGAAATATATATATAAACACGTGACTTTAATAATTTCTTTGGAAGCTCAATGCCTTGTTCCTAAGTTTTATTACAAGAGCATCGAATTATGCAGCATAGTTATGCAGAAGAACGACACCCTAACAAATCAGTTAATTCAAATTAAAATTAAATTTAAGGACACTTTTTGAAAAAATGAGAATAAATTAATGAAATTCTAAGAATTTCATTTTTACAAAAAAAGCACAATAAATTGAAGCGGAATTACCAGAGTAATCAATAAAACAAATCTATGTGTCCATATTATGTTCTTTTCTATTGAAGGTTAAGGCATTCCTACAAAAAATATATTTAGTAAACGAAGTACCTCTTCAATAGATATATCGTTCAGGTGTAATATAGTATTCCTTCTTTCATGTTGAATAGCTTGGTAGCTTTTCTCCTTTCTTCGTCATTCCGTCGGGATTCTTGAACTGGACAATGAAATTAAATATCTGTTTCAAACCGACATGTTGTATGTAGTCTGTTGTAGTGTAACATAAGTACAGTCAAATAAATCGCGAAACAGTTCCAGTTTTCTGGAAATGTATAATATTTGATTTTCCTGAAAAGAAAAGCTTTTTTTTTTCTTTGTAGTCTGCAGAGTAATATTTTTATCAAGCATTTACTGCTTTATAAAATAATTTTAAAAATACATTTATAGTGATAACTATATAAAAGTACCAATTTACTTTATCATATTTACCCTGGATTCTAGTGAAAACAATAATTTTGAATTATGGGGGGTTGGGGTGAAAATGCAATGTATGAAAATAACTTTTTAAACTTCTTTTTAGGATCTCTTATATGTTATATGCATTTTGTAATTTAAATCACGCCATTAAAAGCAAAAACACACAAAGTACTTCAAATGATTGAAGCTAGGATTTTATTTAATTTAATAAGAGCCGTCGTCAAGAGTTTGAAACATATTTGGTAAGCGATAGTTTCATCCTATCAGTCATCATCTTTTGAACTTTTAATACTAATGATATAAAACAAATCAAAACTTCAATAAAAGTTTATAAGGTGTAATGAAAAAAGTCTTTCTAGACTTTACCTATACCAAGCTCGATAGGGATGAGTTTAGTATTTTGTATGAACCATAATGATATATAAATATTATAAATATAAATATTATATCATATAAATATTATAAATATAAATATATTTTTTCAATATTTTGTTCTAATGAATTGGAGCCGAAGTTGCTTTCTTTTCATTTCTTTTTTTGTTCAATCCCTTAAAAAAGAAAAAATGAAAAGCTTTTATATTTACTATTATAAATATTAGTAATATAAACTAAATATTTTCAATATATGAATACTTCATATTGTTTTAAATTTGTTATAATTTTACTTAGACGCACAAATCAAATTTTCAGCCGAAACTGATTTCTCTGACATATGAAGCTCAAGAAAGAAATTATATAAAACTTGTTTTCGTGATGATGAGGAATCCATTGAAGTAAATAAATAGATATTGTATAGGTGACTGATATAGGTAACAAAAACACCAAACAAGTAACCTGATGATGACCTCGTTATGTTACCAATATGTGTAATCTACGACCACTGTAATTTTGGCTCGTTGGGAAAAACAACATCGTTTTTCTCAGCAAGATTTCTCGAAAACGGCTGTATGGATTTGGACGAAAGTTGGTATACATTTGGACCTTGACCCAACTTATAAATGATTAGTTTTTGGAGGGGTAAGGTCACGAAAATTGAGAAAATCCCTGTCTGTTAGTGTGGGGACCGATGTTTCACACTATTTTTGCTTTATAACTCAGTCAAAAATGATCAGATTTTAATGAAACTTGGTGGACTTAAGTAGAATATTATTTCTCATTGTCTTGCCAAAAATGGTCCGTATCCGTTGATAACGACGGATATACGGACACATTTTCGTATTTTTTGAAAGCCGAATATGATCAACGCTAGATGGCGGAGGTATGCGCTCTACTGAGTGCCCCTTTAGTTCCCATAAGTGTAATCTAAAACCACTCTTATGTTGTTTAATTGAAGCAAACAGGCTGCAGAAGTGTTACATACGCATAGCCGCCCCTAATTTTGAACTGATAGATCAGAGAGAAGTAAACTATTAAGCTATTCACTTCTGATTGAATAGTAGGATTTGACCGTATTTCATAGGATGTATCCACCCACGTCCTCAGTGCAGATTAAGTTGTTCCTTTAGAGGACGCGAATTATAAGCCATCAGGTCACAGTCTCAGTCCAGCAATCTGATTAATCACTAGTTTTTGAAACAAAAATTAAGTCATACTTTTTAATAATGAGATACCAAATCTCAAATCGAGTAGAAACTTTTTTGCAGCATAAAATAAGAAAACACATCTGTTTCTCAAAGAAACCGTGAGAAACATTTCATTTTATAGTTGAAATAAAACAAAACTCAATAATTATATTAAGGAAATAATCAAATTCTATATCTAGTGAGGTATCACAGTTTACACTAATATATCGTAATCCTTACTTTACTGAAAGAAAGCTGAGCTCAAACAAAACTAATGTTGATATATCAACAAAACATTAATCGACTTACAGAGTCTGAAGAGTCAAGATATTTATCGAAACTTCTTCTTTATCAGGCATTCTAGGTGAGACCCTACTTTTTATATTGTAATAATTTTCTTCGTTCAAATGCGAGAGTGTAGAATAAAGTGGGAATTTTTAATCATTCTTTCGTGGTAGCATGAAACAAATACTAAAGAAACATAGTTTTTAAAATTAGATTGTATGAGCTTGCTGCTATCCATTCTACTAATTCACCGTCGTTTATTGCAGACGTACATTTAGTTTTTAATTTTGAGGTCCTCAAAAATTAGATATCTAAATATATCTTGAATATGTATTTCTCTGTACTAACAGTCACGCAGGAACATCAGTTCAAGGACAAGTACAACTTCTACCGTTTCCGTGACGACCAGGAAGGTATTGGTACTGCACCGTCAACCAAGGATCGCCACCAAGCCGAATCGGAACTGCAGGAAACATTCAGTCTTCTTCTTCAACAAGCTCCAGATGCCATTTTAAGAATGACACTTAGGAAACCGTGAGTTACCCTCACAAGCAACAATACTTGAAAATGAAAAGCTATGATATAAAAATATATAAAACGTAATATTTTTATAAGTTTAAATTGATAATAAGTTACGGAAATGGCAACGTTTACCCCCACGTGCTTTAGTTGGTTGAAGGTTTCATTAGCCGTCTTAGGGTCACTACTAGAATACATAAAATGTTTTTATTGCAATTTTCACCAATCCTTTAAACGTTATTGTAGTTTTTTACTGCTCACTCGAACTGTGATTTAAAAAAACAAACAAACAAGAACACCTCCTAAGTGTTCATAATAGTTATTCAGTTTAGTATAAAAACTACTTGGTTTCAACTGTGATTACTAAAGGTAAGTGCAGGAAATGTATGATTGACCTTAAAAGTTTGATGTTAGTTTGAATCGAGGGAGTATATTCTAGATGACTGATTGACCAAAAGTTTGATATTAGTTTGTATCCAGGGAGTATATTCTAGATGACTGATTGATCAAAAGTTTGATGTTAGTTTGTATCGAGGGAGTATATTCTAGATGACTGATTGACCAAAAGTTTGATGTTAGTTTGTATCGAGGGAGTATATTCTAGATGACTCGTATTGTCGTAAATCTGTACTTATAGAAAAGCTCTGGTTGAATTGACTCGAGGTAATGTGATTTTGTTTGAAGGGAAGATGCTTTGTTCAATACCTATTAAAGTAATTTTGTTCAAGAAGAAAAATGATTTTAGTCAATATGTAGTGGGACGATTTTTTTATTGAGAAACAGTTATCAATTTGACTCGTAATAAGATAAATATTTAATTACAAAATACTTTTTGGGTCATTCGAGCACAGATGCATTAACGAAAAACAATAAACTACTTTATTGAAAAAACACTAGGTATTTATGTTTCTGACATCTAGACTACGTTATTTTGTTATCAGTAAAGTAAATACTTTCACTTAATGTGTAATTACATAAATATCAACGATACAAATGACAAAAATTTATAATTACTTCGGAAGTGTTAATGGTTCGAAACTCATTTTACAACTAATAATTCAGTGAAGATATGCTAGTAACAATATCTTTATTAGTCGATAAACTAATACTATTAACATTTTAAGAATAGGGATTGCGTTCTTAAACCCAGTCCTCGATTCTTCAGAATTCAAGATTGGATTGATCTGTATTATATGTCTTGAAGTAAACAATGTAAACATTTTACATACTGCCAATATATGCATGAGTTATGGTTTAATGTATGAAATTAGTGATATAATATTATAATACATGTATCAAATTAGTGATATAATATTATAATACGTGTATCAAATTAGTGATATAATATTATAATACGTGTATCAAATTAGTGATATAATATTATAATACGTGTATCAAATTAGTGATATAATATTATAATACGTGTATCAAATTAGTGATATAATATTATAATACGTGTATCAAATTAGTGATATAATATTATAATACGTGTATC